TCATTCACTGCTTTTGTGAAACATTCTGCACGGTCTTGTGTTGCTACGCTGCATTTGTCTCTTTGTCATGGTGTATTTCACTAATTAATTATTTAATCATCAAGACATTTTTGTAGATATGATTGCTTTAATTGTTTCCAGCGGTTTGCATGATGAAGAGCGGGCGGAGTCAGAAAGCTCCGTCAATTAGCTACTCAGAGAAATGAACATCTATTTCTAATCATCAGATCATAAATTCTACTAAACAGCTCAGTGGAAGTTTTAAAATAAGGTAATAAGACTTGTGTCAGACTACATGCAGAGGAAAGATGGTGCTAATTGGTATTATTTTAACAGATTAACTCACCTTTTCAACATCGTGGAACGGCTGCTGAGAGAAGAGAAGAGAAGAGAAGAGAAGAGAAGAGAAGAGAAGAGAAGAGAAGAGAAGAGAAGAGAAGAGAAGAGGGGTGAGTTATAAAGATGAAGTGCAGATCATCTTTCTCTAATTGAAAATGAATCAGAGCTCCCTCTTTCCCTGCTCGCCGCTCTGCTGCTGAAGGTCAACGACCCGTTAACACGGAGAGAAGCGACGGCCCTGAAGTTCAACCAGCTGAGGACACCCTTCATTCATCACTGCGTCCTTCCTCCTCCAGCCTTCACTCACACTGCAGCCGATTAAGACTAAACTGTAATTGACTCAGCGATTAACTCGATTGCTGATAAATCTGAGCTCAGGCTGAACCAGTGGCACTGAGGCTGAACACTCGGTTACTGCAGGCAGGAACTGAACACGATTCCTCTGAACCTCTGACTGGACTTACAAGGATTAAACCAGGATGTTTCCATCTGACCAGTGAGGTTTGTGACTGTTTCAAGTCAGTTTTACCAAATGAGAACCAATTACAGAGTAAATCCTTAGATCATTCGGATCTGCTAAAACTAGGCACGACATATCGGCCACCACATCGGTATCGGCCGATATTAGTGTTTTTCCCCATATATCGGTATTTACTTTTGTTTCGTAATGAAGAAGACTATGTGGTCTAACTTGGACTTCCTTTGAATAGTTTTCACGTTCTCACAGTTACACTCATTTTTTGATGTGAACAAGAATTGAATATCGACATCGGTAATATTGGTTATCGGCAATATCAGAAATCTTAATATCGGATATCGGTATCGGCCAGAAATTTTAATATCATGCATCACGAGCTGAAACCCAAAATATCACCTCAGTTCTGCTACATTTGTGCAAAAATTTCATTCGCAGCTACAAATACCACCAATAAGGTGACAGTTTACATTCATGTCTGTTCAAACTCATGAATTAAATGTCTTTGAAGGAATTTATTGGGTGAGGAACCAAAATTTATCATCACCATCCCACCTAAATATGAAAAAAGGTCACAGTCTCCCGTCTGGTTCTTGAGTTATGGTGTTAAAGAACAACCAGAAACGGGTTTATGCAGAAAGTTGACCTTTGGGATAATAAACGTCATAATTCTTTTTATCCAGTTAGTTACATTTGTGAGAAACGTTGCAATAATTAGTGTCGAAATTCTTAAAGTACGGCCAAAAACATGTTGTTTTTTTTTCCTGAGCTTACAGAGACGTTTGACGACTAAAATCTGAGCCTCAAAAGTGAGTCAAAGTAAATGTTTGTGTCTAATTTGAATGAATTCCCTCTGGGCGTTAAAGAGACATCGTGTTGACAACAAAGGGACACACAGAAGGACAACCTGAAAACACAACGCCGCTGACCCAGAGGAATATTAATGCTTCCAAAGAGTAAACAGAAACACGTCACGGTGCCGAGGTGTCCGAGGTCGTACTGGTGAAGGAGAACATGTTCTCACAGCAGTCAGTGACGATGGAGCCGAGAAAAAAAAAAAATCCTTGAATAGCACAAGAGGGGGTCAAGGAGGGTGTAGCAGTCACGGAGCCATTAGACGGTGAATATTACCGACGTCTGACAGGGTCGGCTGGTTACGGACCTGTAGTTCTGACTGACTGGCACAGACACACAGCTCTGACTTCAGTGCTTTTAAATGCAGCTTAACCGCAAACTGCTAAACAACAAACACATTCAAGGGAAACAACTGCAGCCCGACTGTGTTTTCTATTAACATAACTGCTAATCAACACATTTGGCCCAAAAAACAACATGTTGGTCCCGAATGTTCCAGGACAATGTTTACTGACTTTGTTTTTTCTGCCAAAACAACCAATCACACAGTCCAGCCTCCACCTGCAGTGACTGAGTCTTCATGAGTCAGTTTCTGTTCAGATTCTGGTTCAGGTTTTTCCTTCAGGTTCAGGAGTGTTGGGGGTCGGCTTTAATCCAGGAAAAGTCAACACTGAGACGCATGTGTTTCTTTACGTTGAACCTGAAACAACATCTTCACTGAATCTAAAGCACAGAAACAAGTCTGAATGTGAACCTGGTGTCACAGTCCTGGACTTTACATGTCCTCCATCCACCCCAACCTCCTCCTGTAGACTCTGAGCAGCTCTGAAATGTGGAGCTTCCTTTATTTAGAATAACACTACCTTTGAACAGAATGCAGCAGAGGTTTCATCACCCCACTAGATGAGTGTCATGTCTTGGAGACAGAGTTGGTTACTTACTGCTCACAGACAGAATTAAGGAGCCCAAATTGTGAATATTTACAGATTCTATAATAATTCTAATGTTATATTTGGAGTCCACTAGAATATGATAACATGCTCTAAGGTTCAAAATCACATTATTTTTCTTATACTGTACATTGCTGCAGCATTTGTGCTCCGTCTGAAACGCTCCATTTTAGTCTCTTTAAGGCCGCCTTCCTAAAAGGCCCAGTCTGCTCTGATTGGTCGGCTGGCCCAACAAAGCAAGGCAACTGTGGTTATGTACCATAAGATTGCTTATAGGCAGAGAGACGTAGGCATAGTGGCAGCAAAACGTTTGGTGAGGCAGCTGCTCATGCTTTGCTGAAGGCCCAAACGAGCCACCAGGTGTTGTGTAAACGTGTTACCTGGTGATGTAGATAAGTGACACAAGAAAAGCCTGAACTGCAAACAAGGTGTTACTAGCAGGTAAGAAGCACTGTCTTCTGTGAGAGGTGAGTTATAACTACGTCCCTTTGGTCTAGACTTTGAAAGTTTGCAGACCTTTTGCAAGCTGACAAAGACAGTTCCACAACACCCTGAAGGACAGAAGGAAAACCCAAAAAGCAGAACATGGGCTCTTTAGCTGCCAGTCCACATGGAGCAGATAATTATTCAATATTCTCCTGAGTAAGTATCTGTAGATGGAGCCCGCCTCACCTCTGACCCCGTCGCCACCTCCTTCCTCCTCTGCAGATGCTCCACGTCGTCGATCTCGTACACCTTTATCTCAAAGGGCTCCTTCAGGGTACCGCCCAGCGGGGGCAGGTCCACCCACTGGCCGCCCACCTTCCTGCCCAGAGACGAGGTGTCCGGCAGGGGAGCTGGGATCAGCCGCCGCCGCAGGAAACCTTTTAGAAGGGGAAAAAATTAATAAAATGACCATCAAGCTTGTAATTTACACTGTATGAACCAGGAACCAACAGACTCTACTGGTTCCTGCTGGTGCTCTAATGTAGATAGAGTGGAAGTGGAGCTTCAACGATTATTGATTAGTTTTCAACTATTACATTAATCACAAGCTATTTTGACAATTTAGTACCTGGACCAACACATGTTTAAAGAGTCTAAATCCTCTGATTCCAGCTTTGTGATTTGATTATTTTCTGGTTTCTTCAGTCCTCTATGACAGTAAACTGAATATATTTGGGTTGTCAACAAAACAAGACATTTAAGATAAGTGCGTTATCTTAGATTTTGGGAAACATTTGTCATCGCTTTCTTACATGAAAAAATAATTAACTGATTAATCAACAATAAAAATAATCATTAGTTGGAAGTGGAAGGAAACAAAACCTCGGGTTCGTTTCTGAAACTGACGCTTGGGGGTAAAATGGTGTCAGGAGCCTTTTTCTTTTTGTGTATTTAAAGAACTAAAAGGGGAGAAGAGCCACACATTATGTATATTAGTAGAAAAACTGTAACTCAGTACAGTCATGTAATTATACAGCATGTAGGTGGATCAAACCATCTTTAATGTTTGATGAGAAACAGAATAACTATTATTTTAATTCTTTAATAACTGAGAAAATATCTGGTCTGTGGGTTGGATTATAAATTGTGGCTCTTCTTCCAAACAGCCCCGTGTCGTGAGGATACCCAATATTTACAATAATTAATACTTCTATGCTTTTTTCTACAGCTCCTACTCACTTGTTCTGTACTTCCATGTAAGTAACAGGATTTTACTGGTACCTACTTCCCATCACACTGCGTATCTATCATAAAGTGTGACCAAACTTAACAATAGGAAACCATTTGCTTTGTCCAAAGGCAAACAGGGGCGAGAAATATATTTAATGTGATGAAGGTTGTTGATTTCAGAAGACAGCCCACACAGCTCATTATTTTTAATTAGCCTCATCTCCTCAGTCAGTCCAGCGCCACCAATACCTTCCCTCTGTGTCAACAACCATTTGCGCTGCTGATAAGGTTTTAACAGCACGGCTGTCAACCTAAAGACCTCAATCTTTATTTTCTAATGACTTCGTACACACGCTGCCGTCAGATAGGCTGCTGTACAAATTAATTTTATGACTAAAACCAAAAGCAACGGCGTCCGTAGAAAACAAAAAAGCCATTAGTGGTTATTAAAAAAACACCCTGGCTCTCCGAGTGAGGACGTTGAAATAGTGACAGATTGAGGGGGAGTGTGTGTGTGGGTGTGAAAGCTGTGGAGTGGTGTGTAGTGGATGGGGAGGGAGGCAGGGAGGGTGTGTGGGTGATAATTGGAGTTGGATATGTACACCGGGAATTGCTGCGGCGTCATGAATTATTCATGAGGCAGAAATGAGCCAAGATCCACAGACTGATGGCAGGCAGATCACACGAGTGCTGATTCCATATGCATCAGGCTGCTCGACCTGTGTGTCGCCGCCGCCAACCAGCCGCATGAATCACAATCAGCTGCTGTAAGGTGGAATACTCTACAACAGCGTCCCAGATAATGTGCGTGGATGTAGTTTTTTTTTTTTTCTTTTTTTACAATAATGCCGGGCTGAGAGATAAATTCACACGCTGAGATATGAGGAGGAGAGCAGCCTTTGATAGATGCTCCCACAGCAATAATACCTGCACTCTTCAATGTGCTCAGCATTCATGAAAATATTGTAGCGAGCAGCCACTTTCATCCCATCATCACACTCTGATGGATGGAAGCACATTCTGGAAAAAGCCATAAACATGTTAATTTATCGGCGCAGCTTCCAGAAGAGACAAGTTTTATGGCTCTTTCACTTTCTGAGTCAATATAATGAGAAATAGTTGCTGAGTGTCAAATTTGAGCGTTAACTGTGATGATATCAAACCTCATTTCAATAATAACTGGCGAAGATTAAAAGCAACATTCACTTTTACATTCCTCTGCTCTGCACGAGCTGCTGCTTTTTGTTCATTTACATTTCACGCCTTTTAAACCCCACAAAAATCTAATCTCTAATCTACTGAGAGAGAAAACAAAGAATGCAAATGATGTTAATATATGCAAATAAACAGCACATGGATATCTCAGCTGGCTGTGAGTAGAGTTGGTACTGTAGCACACCAGGGCTGCAGTTATCCAAAGTATAACTATATTTAGCATGACCAATAGCAGATACATCATCCACAAATATTGTCCACATTGATGCTAAATTCATGCTTAAGCTGTGCATATGAGCCAGGGCTCCAGAATATGATCATTTCGGTCCCATATGAGTTCAAAACTCTATTGAGTACGACTAAAAATGTTCATTTGTTGCACTGATGTGCTTGGTATTTAGCAGTTCTGTCTATGTTTGGTACATATATAAAGTCTCTTGTTTTAAACTGAGGTAATGTGACATTCATTTGCCTTCATCCATCAACCCGTTATCTATACACCGCTTAATCCTCACTAGGGTCCTGGGGGGGCTGGAGCCTATCCCAGCTGTCTTAGGGTGAAGGCAGGGGACACCCTGCGCCTTACTTTACTCCTTTCAAATTTATTTTTGGTAACACATCTCTCTAAGCTGCTGCAGTGACTGAGTGGAGACTAGAGGCTTCTCTGTGCACAGCCGCCTAGTTGCGTCTACAGATGTACTGGAGGGAACATCAATTAACTGTACGCTCTACCGATAGTCTGCATGTAATGTATTTTGGGGACGTATGTTCATTTTACAGCTGCAAGGTGGAGCGCTGGTGAGCACTGTTGCCTCGCAGCAAGAAGGTCGCCAGTTCACGTCCCGGTGAGGACACCCAGGATCTTTCTGCGTGGAGTCTCCATGTTCTCCCCGTGGTCTCTCCGGGTTCTCCGGCTGTCCAAAAATATGTTGAGGTTAATTGGTGATTCTAAATTGTCCGCAGGTGTGAATGTGAGTGTGCTTGGTTGTCTGTCTCTAAGTGTAGCCCTGTGATAGACTGGTGACCTGTCCAGGGTGTCCCCTGCCTTCACCCTGAGTCAGCTGGGATAGACTCCAGCCCCCTATGACCCCAGTGAGGGTTAAGCGGTGTATAGATGATGGATGGATGTTCCTTTCAAGTGCAATAAACAACTTGGGTCACTCTCTGCGTCTCTGAATTGCATTGGCCTCAGTGTGCACATGGGTCACACTGCCCCATATACCATCACCACCAGTAAATTTTCAGTTCATGAAACTCACTAACATGTCATAGAAGAACCAAGCACAAGCCTATGTATTGCAAAGAGTGCATTCAGATCATAGCTGGGAACAGTGCTTTTCTGTTATTACAGCAATGCTCGAACTTGAAATGTTGAAAAGAAAAATTACTCCAAGAAACTTGTCCTGTGCTGTGACAGGTGTGTGACCAGCACAACAGCTGCGGGCAAACCAAAGCAATGAGGAGTCAGAAATGCAAATAAATTTTAACATTTCCTATTATATATCCAAAGAAAATCTGCCTTTTACAAACATTAAGTCACAGAAGCCATCTGTCTTCACCTTTATTCCTGTTTACTATCATTTACATAACGCCTTGGGCATTTACCAATATGTATGAGAGCTGACAAAAAAAGGCATTGCTCACATTGTATTACTCAGTGCCGAAAGGCTCAGAGACATGTTTTAGGTACACTAAAATTATGTGGTGATGTCCCGAAGGGAAAAAAGGAGGTGCAGCTTTATAAGAATGTAAAGAGTGATTCTGGAGCTCTGAGCAAAAGAAACAACTTAAATCTGAGCTGATTGTCCTGACATGACCCAGCTTTTCAGACTGTGATGACCCTCAAACCCACAGAACAAATTACATTTTTAGCTCCTCTACGGGTAAAAATAAGAAAGACAAATCATCAGGACTTCACATGTCACAACTCCAGGGGGCGCATGGCTTCAGTGTGTTCAGACTGTAAAATTTAAGTTTGAAGTGTTGGTCAGCTGTGTGTTCATCCCACATCACTCCGCCATGATTTACTGTTTTGGAACAAATAATTCTGAAACACCCGACTCACCATTCCCTCTCTTCTTGGGCGATTTAGACACTCTGCTTCTGTTGGACGACGAGGCTCCGCTCTCACTCATGGAGTCATGCGCTGAAGAGGTGCTGCCAGTTGTCTCGCTGTCTCGGATCATGCTCTCGTATCCGCTGCTGCCCCCGCTGTGGTAAAACAGTGCGGTGCGTCCCATGGCAGGCGGCAGCTCCCCGCTGAGGATGCTGCTGTTGTCACTGCCGTGTCCACTGCTGTAGCGCTGCGGTCTTCGAGGCGCAGTGATCTTGCTGTAAGGTGATGGCAGCGGTGTGTTGAGTGTTGATCCACTGACACTACTAGCCCCGCTGTCGGCGCAGTCACTTCCTGTTGCTCCTGGCCCCCTGCTGAACTGCTTCCTGTGGCTTCCAGCAGCTAGCTCGCTAACCCGGCTGTTGGCTGCCCTGCTGATGGCCTGCTTTGTGCCCATGATAGTGCCTCTTCCTGTCTTGGCGCCTGTTCCAGAGCGAGCAGGGGACTTACCAGTCGGCGGCAGACTTGCGTTGCGTCCAGCTGTGTTTTCTGGGGGTTTTGGGGAGCAGCTCAGGCTCTTGGAGCTGCTGGTAGACAGCGTTCGAACCTTCAGTCCACCTGAAGCTGCTGCTCGTGATCCGCTGCCACCTCGGACCTGCCCCAGTTTGCTAGTTGTTGCAAAAACACCACAAGGTTGGGCAGAAGAAGCAGATGTGGTGGTGGAGGCTGGAATCCCGAGTCTTGGCACTGATCTGTTGGACCTGGTGCTACCTCCTGAAGCAACACCACTGTTGTCCCTGAACAGCTCAGGTTTGGACCCTGCTAAGGTTTGACTGTCAGATCTTTCCAGAGACATTAGACTCCCATAGTATCTGGAAGAATCTGCTTTGGCCCCTCGTGTCTTCAGGCTCGAGGATGCCCTGGCAGATCCATGTTCAGTTTTTAAACTGGATGTCTTATGGCTGAATGAATCTGCCCGGAGCCTGACACTGAATTCCTCCTCTGAGGTGGATGTTTTAGGGAATGAGGACTTTCCAATGCTGCTGCATGTTTTTAAGGCACTTGGAGATAGCGCAGTCCTTATCTTTTGCTCTTGGCTTGACTGTCTGACAGGTGAAGCAGGAGGAGAGATGTTTCCAGATCCAGACTTGGACATCATGCTGCTTTTTGGTCCATTTGACTTTTTCCCCAAGGATGAAAACCTCAGTGTACCAAGCACTGAGGCAGCTTCATGACTCCATTTGGATTCAGACGTCTGGGGGGTGGAAACAGTTCCCAGAGTTGTTGCACCTCTGGTAAGTCGTGGCAGCTTGATGAGAGTATCTCCCCTCCTGCTGCTGGACTTCTCACAACCGTCCACAACCCTCTGAGCTGAGGAGGACATTTGTGACTTTGGTGGCCGAGGTACACTGTGGCTGTTCCCTCCAGACTTCTTAGAGGAACCGTTATTCGTGCCACCTCTTGATGACTTACCAGCAGAAAGAAACTCAACTTCTCTGGGATCAAAATGGCTGCTTCCCTGAAGCAAGAAGTCATCATGTCTGCCTTCCTGTCTGCTGCAGCCCAAAGCTGCAGATGAGGTAGGCTTGGTTTTCCTGGGAAGACTGGAATGAATGTTGTGATGGGGAGTCTGGGCTGACACTGAACTGGTACTTGCTCTCACCCTGAGAGAGCCTTTGAGAGAGGCTTTGGTTGAGTCTGGGGAGGGAGGGCACTTGTTAAAAGAAGGTTTGTTTGGGGTAGCAGGGTCACTGTCCAGCTCTGAGAAGCCAACGCCGCTGTCATTCAGCGCGCTCTTCATGCCATGCTGCAAAAATGGCTGTTTATGGAATATACTAGGTGAGGCCAGCATGGATGTATTCTCTGTTGGCATGTGTTTATCCCTCGAGTAAAGCCTGCTTGTTGAATGAGTGCCTTCATTGTTAGCCAAGTCTGCACTGAACTCACTTGGCCATGATCCAACAACTGACTGCTTTTTGTCATGTTGGGAAAACAACATTTCCTGGTAGTCGGCACTGATGTCAGCTGCAGGTCCCACAGCGCCTTGTTGAGATGTGTAAGCATCATACTCATCGTTGATACTGCTGATGATACTGACTGGGCGAGAGCCAGAGGTCAAGGCCTGCAGAGAGCAGTCAGTATTGAAGCTGAGGAGGTTGGAGGGGCGGCCATTGTCTGGGACAAGGCCATGAGGAAGCTCCTCTATGACCGTAAACACAAGTTCATCTTCCCCGTTCAGCTCCACAGGCTGCTGCAGTGTGACTGTAGTCCTCAGAAAATCCCTGTCCAGGCACCTTCCTAACAGAGCTGCTCGCAGGTTGTTGACCTCCATCGGGTATCTACTTAGAGAGGCTCTTTCCATGTTAGGTGACTCCAGTGGTTGGCATTGCCTCAGTGCTTGCTGACTCATGCCGACTGGGGGAGTCCTACTGAGACCCTCTTCAGGCTGAGCTGATGTCCTGGATGTCCTGGGTAGGGATGGTGAGGCAGATGGCTTTGGAACACCTCCTCTGAGGTAGACCTTCTCTCGCACCACAGGCTCTGAATCCTGGGAGAAAGCCCCACCTGGTTTTACTGCACATGGCTGAAACAGGGTGCTTGAAAGTTTTTCCCCATCTGCACTTGTCCTTTTAGAAGGGTCCATGAGAATCCTGGGCTGTTCCTGATCAGATTTATTTGTGCTTTCTGAGAACTTCTCGGAGGAGTTCTCAGATTTGGGTGGAGACGTTGCCTCTGAAGGTTTACTGTCTCCACTCTGAGTCCTAAGTGCTGCTGCTTGTGCTGCTTTGCCCTCTGTGCTGAATGGATTTGGGCCCTCACTGCCATCGATGCAGTCGAGTCTTTCCTGCAGTTCTGCAAATGTGTTACACTTGAAGTGATCGCCGTCAGTCTTGGGTGCATCTTTGACCCGCTTCTTGTTCAGGGAGGGAATGATGGGAACAAAGGAAGGCGGGCCCTCGTTGTCACTTAGTTCTCGGTCCGAAATGGCCGTCCCTCCAGGTCCCACATAGATGACGGTGTCGCAGGAGTGTTCACTGCTGGAGGAATAGTCAGGATCACTAGAGAGCAGCAGAGGTATGTCTGGGTCGAGGGCAATAGTTCGAGGGTGAAAGGATCGAAGCTGAGGAGGTCTACGAGACGGGCCTTCCTCACAGGAACTCTCCCCTCCGGATGAGCTGGAAGCATACTGCAGATAAAAGACAGAATTAGCAAACCAAACAGACCTGTGCTACACAGTGATCAACCTGAAGGCAAATCCATTTCTGGAATCCTCGTGTCAATACAGGCAGAGGTTAAAAGTGCACACTGCAGGCTGCTTTAAAATTAATATCAATGAGATGTATATGCTTGTAACTCTTGTTGCCATATGGAGCTTTCAATCTATAAAATACAAATACAGTCCATCAATCTGCCTGACGAGGGTGAAAGCTTATCTCACCTCACCACAGAGGCTCCCGTCCCCATAACAATGTCATTGATTATCTGCCATATCTCGGTAGAAAACATTCACTGAATTATGACCATGTGACTCCCTCACCTGATCACACAGATACACATTATAGACTCTACGTTTTTATTGTCACTGGCCTCAGGAAATGAGTGAAAAATCAACCAGAGATCAAAACCTTTGTGATTCCTAAAGAATAATCTGTTCAAATGTTTTAATTTAATTTAATATAACCCTGTTCTGTCACCCATATTTTAGAGAAAAAAAATGTATATCTAAGTTCAGAATTCAACTTTTTTTTCTCCTTTGTTGCCTTAAATTTAATTTCATTCATTTAATTTCATTCAGATTTTAAGTTTAGCAAGAAGGTTAAAACAAAGTGCAAAATTTGGGGGAAAATGTCTTTACAGCACATTGAGCCCTGCTTAATTACATTTTTATACTTTATACTATACAATTTAATCAAATAATTAAATATCACCAATTACCATGCAGGAATGTACCGTCAAAATACATATGTTTCATCATTTAGAATTATTTGTTGAAGGAGGGATGAAGGCATTTATTTAAAAAAAAAAGAAAGAAGAAGAAAAGAAATTCTGAAAATCTATTTATCACATGTTTCAATTTTTTTTTTTTATTTTGCTTTCTTTAATTTTCAAATCATGAAAAAGGAAATGTTGACAGAAACCAAACTCAATTATTTTAACTGTAAATCTTTTAAATGTCTTTAAATGACATGAATGAACTCCCTCTGTTACCGTTCAACGAGAACTATAACAGAGATAAAAATCTTTCTATGGACTTTTATTGCACATCAACATATCAGTTCTATTTATCTCTAACTTCCACATTGAAACTAATTGACAAATGATTCCAATTGTTTGGTTTTGTCACAAAAATTGGCAAACCACAGCACAGACACTGAGCTATAGAAATAAGGGTTTAATAAAAGATGAAGCACCTTGGACTTCTTCTTCCTCATGCGGTGGATGCGGGAGGCCAGCTGCACCGTGGTCAGCGTCTCCATGTAGTTCGCCGGGGAGTCGGAGATGTGGGCGATCATGGTGGTTCGACAGTTGATGTTGCCCAGGGATTCGCTGAGCAGCATGGTGAGCTTGCTGTCCCTGAATAATACATCAAGAAACCCCTCGTTAGCCAAAAAAAAAAAAGAAAAAAAAAGAAGCACAGATGCACCATGGGCCCGAGAAACCGAGAAACCCCACAGGATCCCAGAAACCATTCATTACTTCACGCAACAGTTGGGTACAGACATGGAAGAAGGAGTAGGAATGATCCCTCATTTCACATTAATGAAGCCCACTTTGAACTCCACGCCACATGTGATCTGTAGTGAGAGATGTTCATGAAATCATGCCTTTGAAAAGACCTCGAGTAAGGCCACAGCAGAAGGATCAAATACCAAATTTACATACTACAATGTAAGCTTTTTTTACTTTTTCCATTTTCACCCCAACAACAGAACTGAAATCCAGCCTTTGCCTGACCCCAAAACATTATAAGTGAATCCTTTGCCGGCTCTTCTTCAGGCTCGACAGCTTCCTCTGACTTCAGGTTTTCTATAAATTTCTAACAAGTGAATGTGAATCAGAGCATGTTTCCATCAGCTGTCTTTATGTGACGGCATTGAAGAGGCCTGTGACTTCATAACTTCATTTCACGCCAGAAACTCGTGTTCCTGATGCTTTTGACTGGGGTTAGGGTTGCCAAGGCAGGCAAAGATATTTCTTTCAACAGCAAGGCATTTAAGGAACTTAACTAATAAAGGCATTAAAATATTGGCACAAAGGGCCAAGGAGACCTCCATGGATGTTTTGTTTTAGTTCATTCCTTGTTGTTTCGTTGGTCTTTGTGGTAAAGTCCTTAGATTAAGAGAAGAGGCTCTCTATGGCCAATACCTCTTTCTGCTACCTCGCATCACTAAAATCATTCAAATCTGCTTTGCCTCCAACCCTAAATTTTTATCCACAGTGGAAAGCTGTAACTGTGTGTTACAGTCGTATACAGATTCAATAGAAACATCCAACAGGATGCCAAGTTGCCGCTGCTTTTGGACGAATATATCGGCTGGAAGAGGTTGGTCCATCGTTGGTTGTTTTTTTTTAAATCATCCATGTCCTTAAAAATTCAACTTGGTGATAGTTGACTTGTAAAACAAATTTCAAAGCATTTGCAGAGAGAAACTGGAAGTTGAGCCATAATAAGCACATTCTTGTTGCACTGACTTCCATCTTTCAGACAACAATGATCAAATAAAATTAGGCCATCATTAATGGCTGCGTTCTGATCGATTGGTACTGAAAGGCAACATCAATTCACAAATAATACCTGAGAACTGGACCAAAAAACAAATGTGTGGTCGTGCACCGTCATCATTAAATCTTAGATGTTTATTTAGTGGCTGCAAGCAAAGGAATCCTTCAAGTAAAACCAATGAACTCTTGCATTTACAGCTTATTATTGCTGGCACTATACACAAGCAAAGATGGTGAACTGCTTCATGTAGGTCTGTCTTCTTGCTGGCTTCATCTGGTTTAAAACCAAAACAATCCAAAATAAAGATTATTTTTTTGCAGCAGGTTCCCTGCACACACACCTCAGCAGTCACCGTTTGCTGGACTGACGCTGACCAGCATCACCAACCCGGTCAGGTGGCACAGGCTGTCACCAAAATGCAAGTTGAAAATTTTTTAACCTGAGTTAAAACTCTGCTCTTCCCCAACGGCTTTATTAGTCAGAAAAACACACCAACACTCATCTGTACAGTCGGTGTATGCGGCTCTCTGAGGAAGAAACGCTTTAGCTTTGCTGTCTTTTTGAACACACCTCAACAGTGACAGGCAGCAGCACATGAATGTTTCATCAACACAAATCAAAACCCAATCTTTGAAATGTCTCCTTTGCCAACCTGGAATTTCTGACTTTTTACTGCAGAAATTGTAAGTAAGCATGAAATCAAATGGAAATAAAGCATATAAAACAGGATACACGTAACCTAACCCCAAAATTAAACAGCTTAGAAACCAAAAGTTGTCAAAAGTGAGGCAATAAGGGAACAAATGAGCAAAATACAAGCCTGAAAATAAATATTGAGCTCCAACAATCAGTCTGCAGAACAAACACCCAAAGGACTGAATATACACATCAATTAGCATTACAAAGTGATTTATTCATCAGCCTCAATAACCATTTAACAGTGACTGAAGACTCATTAAAAATACATTAAATTCTGTCCGCCCAGTTCATTCGTCACCCCTTCACTCTCCTCCGTCCTCTTAGGGGTCTTCGGTCCATCTGTTGTTTTGGCACCGTGACCTCTGACCCCTGTTGGGCTCATTAAAATGCCCAGAGTGTGAGCTGGTACCTGTAGGGAACGTGCTTGGCTCCGTTGGCGAGGGCGAGGATGACGTTTCCCAGCGCAGACAGAGACAGACACTGACCTCCACCTCCCTCTCTGGTCCTGCTGATGTCCGTCTCACAGCTCCCCAAATCCAAGAGGTGGAGACGACTCCGACCGGACACTGACACAGAGAGGGGGATGTTGGGAGAAGTTAGTATGCAGTGCCTTAAGTGTTCATTAGTGCTGAAATGATCGTTTGGTTAAAGGATCTGTCAATTCATTGATTAGTTTAAGACAGAGGAATAATCAATGCCTGTTGTAATAATTGATTGGCTGCTTTAAGTCATTCATCAAGTAAATAAAGAAAACAGCACGAGCAAGAGATTAAAGACATCCATGCAGCTGCAGCTCCACATCGTACAAATGGTAAAAGAATGTACTTTAAATATGAAATAATGTCAGTGGACCCTGGACTGTACAGGAGCTGAAGCTTTGTGTGAGCAAAATGTGTCACTGCATTAACAAAGAACTAATAATAAAACTAATACCAACAGTGTCAGAGGGAAGAAACTCCAGACCAACAAGTCCCAAGTCCCTTTCCAAGTCAGGTGACAAGCCAAGAACAAGAAGTCCAGAATCACATCAGGAAAATCCCAAATCAGGTCCAAAGTTAAATACCAAGTACTGAAAATCAAGTCACCTTTTATGCCAAAAGAAAAGTCAAGATCAATGAGTCCCAAGTTAAGACAAACGTGTTTCAGATCAAATCTCAAGTCAACACTAAGTCTCAAGTCAAGCCCAACAAGTCCCAAGGCAAATTACAAGTCAGGTCTCATGTTAAGTCCTGAGAAATAGGTCTCTTTCCAAGTCAAGTGATAGTAGGACCAAGAAGTCCTGAATCAAAACAGGTCCATCAGAGTCACGTAGCAACACCAACAAGTTCTGACGGAAATCACAAGTCAAACCAAAACCCAGACTAACAGGTTCCAAGTCACTTACCTAGTCAAGTCCCAAGTTAAGAGTAATAAGTACCAACAAGAAATTCACATCCCAAGTCAGGACCAGGTAAAGACAAGCACGTTTCAGATCAGGTCTCGAGTCAACACCAAGTCCCAAATCAAGTCCAACATGTCCGGAGTCAATTACCAAATCAAGACAGGCATATCTGAGGTCATGTCCCAGGTTAAGTGTTTAATCAAGTCTTAAGTACAGTTTCCAGACAAGAGAGACAGGTTCAAAACACGACCAACAAATCTCAAGTTAGTTTTGAGTCAAACATGCAATTGGAAGTGAAGTCAAAGTGCTGTTGCAGGTGTTTTGGTATTTCTAAAGTCAAACTCTTAATAACCAAATGTGTGAGTATGTTTATGCAAACACATAAATCATGGACCTGTTTGAACGAATTAATCAGAATAAGTTCAGATTGCCTCTCTGCGTGACAGCAGGACGTCTGTGAGCAGCTCCGGTAAATATTCAGATAAAGTTCAGTGTCAGTCTGATATCTCTCTGCTCGTTTTAACTGCCTGTTCATTTCATTAATTCAGAGTAATGATGGTGTGAAAGATCAACCGCCCGCATCAGCAAGATTTAGAAAGTGCTGAGAGCGGCTGAGTTTACAGTTTTATACGCTCCGGTCTATAAACACGGCAGGACACAGAGCCGTCAGGCCTCATTAGCCATGCAGATTTATTCCAGCCGTGGACACAGGAGCAGTAAAATACCAGCAACTGTAGAAATGTCTGCACCGTGACAGGTAGACGTGGGCGGAAGTAGCACCAGCGTCGCTTCTCTGTCTGCTAATGTTCTTGTTGGGTATGTCGGCAATTCGACATGAAGCCAATTAGCAGCTGCATGTTTGGAAATGACTAGCAGAGGGAAAAAGAGGGCTAATCGCTAATGGAGTTGCCAAGTTTCACAGCTGCGTGATTGCTAACGGGCAATTTTATTCTTGCCTCAGGGGTCAGTGTCTACAGCCCGCTGTTTCTTCATTAAGGTGTTGGCGAACTGATGCCGACTTACTTAGGTACAGGTTGTTCAATGCTGCTTAGAAGGAAGATAACATTTTGTCCCGGTGCTCCACAGTTAAACCCAATTAAGCAAACAGATGAAGTTCTCAGACTGTCATTTGCAGGTCACTGGGTTCGTTTAGGGTCGAGGGACAATTATGTAAGTTTTAAATAAGTCCACAATTTGTTTGGAACAAAACCTGAGGAGGCAATTTTATAGTTTTCTCATGATCAACAAACCCCGCATGCAAACTGTAATCAAAGGTGTGTTAGTCCGTCTCTCAGTACTTCCTGAATCACTCTTTCAATGATGCACTGGTTCCTATTGAAGGTATCAATCTTTAAAAAGCTTTGATAATATCTAAATAAAACTCTATTCCTGCTGTGTGGATGTTTCATGTGTCCTTACTTCTGAGCCCATTGGTTCCTACTGAGGATGCAAATGTTTGAAAACCCCTCACATAAATATATATAATGTCATTGTAAACTTGAGTTGTTAGTAGGTTTACATGAAGCCAAGCAAATGACACCCATAAAACCAAAGGTGCACAAACCTGCCACTGTCATTGCCACTGAATTCATTACAAAGTTAATTAAAATCGGACTAACTATGTGAATGAATTCACTGGAAAATTCCTTTTCTCAGCAGTGTAATCGTTAGTCTTAGCTCACTGTTACAAGAATAGACTGTATAATGTACTTATAAGCTCTGTGAGTGGAGGTTTGCTGCTGAAGTACATCTTGGGGAGTTGACTTCTATTCTTTAGTGTATCTACAGGCTTCCTGCATCTTAGATTTTTTTCTGAAGAACCAGATATTTTTTTCCCCGTCTAGAAGTTTCACGTTAGAATTCAGAAGTAGCTCCACTATATCTGATCATTTTTCTAAACAATAACTGGGTCTCCATTTCCAGCCACACATCCACTCAAACACTAACTTGCTGCCTTGTTGCTCTTGTCCAGCCTCTCCTGGTAGAGGTGCAGAGTAAACAGGAAGTGCGAGTTCCTTCGGGCCTCCTGGTCGTTTGGCATCCGGCTGCTCCTCCTCGCTGCCAGGGCGGCGTCCAAGAAAGATGCTGCTCGCTCGGCGCTGGTCGCCCGGAGCTCCGTCTGGTTCTGGAGCTGACAGAAAGATCACAAATGAAATGAAAAACCTTATCGTTGGAACGCAGGTCACATAATTTGGAGGTAAGTAGGGTGCTGCCAGTTTGCCCGGAGCCTCATTTTGTTTAAGCCTGTATTTGTTCACATTTTGGCAAACTGGCATCATTAAAACTGTGCTTAATTAGCTATGAGCAGCTCTTGTTTGCAGCGTGTTAAGGACATACAGAGCTGTTATTGGATTACAGTGATGTTGAAGAAAACTTAAAAACATCGAGATTCTCAGACAAGTTGTCTGAAGTCACTCTGTTGAGCAGGTAATCCGTGTATGTCACGTCCAACAACAAGTCCTGTTTTATCGCCATGGAGACTGATGCTGAAAGTCGGGTCTGTCCAGTTGTGTTCCTGCCATAGGTTTTAATTAAGTAATACTTTTATATAAAGTTATAGCTTGTGATACAGATACAGATCGCTAGCTTTGGCTGAGCTCTCTGACCATCCAGTCAGAGGACATCAAAGTGCTGATGTCATCGTAGGCCAGCTAGCTGGCCCTGGAACCACCAACTCTCAATCTGATTGGTTAAAGCAACAGTTTCATTGCGATGCATTTAAACTACAGGTGTCTGTACTTTTGATTGTGAAGGCCTCAGGGCAGATTTCTGTGACCCCGGCAACACATGATGGCTGAAACATGATTGGATAAAAAAAAAAAAAAAAAAAGCTCTACGATAAACAAACATCACAGCCCAGAGACACATTATTAAGTGAAGAGAATAGACTATCAGGAATAAAGTTAAAAGATTAAAGGGAAAATGTTACAACATAAGTCAGTGATTCTGAGAGAGTTTAGGCCACCAGAGAAGGCCTTGCTGACCCTGATGACACACAACTGGATTTTATTGCATTATGACTCCAACGAGGTGATTTTTGACACAAACTGCAGGAATCCAGTGTTAATGTCAATGAAAAAGAAGTTTGTTATCTTTGATTTGACTTAGAATCACTGAATCCTCCCTTGTGTTGGACGGATACTGTGCTGATTAAACCAGATTTCAACCCCAACTTAGTCTTGTCTCTCGCTGACCTGTGACCTAAATGAAACTTGACATCACTGTGAAGCAGAAATCTGCCGTATGCATCTCCCAGATATCTGTAGCTTCGTACCGTTCTTATTCTTTCTCGCGTTCTGTTCAAAGCAGACATCCTTGCTGCATTTCTCAGAGATAAAATGAGCGAGATAAAAGCTCAAATAAGACAGAATGAGGTTTGATGAAGGAAAAAAGGATGTCTGCATGAAGGAACAAAAATGTGGGGAAAGAAAAAGAAAATTAAAGTGAGCAGAGATAAAAAAAAAAAAAAAAAAAAAAAAGTGGCAGACAGAAGGAGCCCGGGGGAGATAAAACAGACTGAATTGGAATAAGGAAGGTCAGGACTAATTGGACAGTTGTGGGCAGCCATGAAGTCCCCGGGGTGAAGAGGAGGTCAAAGAGGAGGAGAGGAAGGGAGGAGCTGAAGGGAAGGTGGCAAGGAGAGGAGACAAAAGGATTTGAGGGAGAGAAAACTCATCAAGGTGACCTGAAGTCAGCAATACTCAGAGACGTCAGCAAATGTCCTCAACATGTCAGCGTGATGCTTTTCAGACAGTTTGACAGTTCAATAAATACAAATTAAATAACCACGACTGCAATAAAAACAGCTTTCACCGGATATGTTCACCGACACAGACACCTGTCATCCAGCCACAGTGGACATCGTGAGGAAGTCATGAACCGTGGCTTCATCGTAATATTGTTCTTGTCTTCTCCCATCAAAAGTTCTTCAGAGGAAACTTCTGACAATCACCGTTAGAGCCAAGATTAGATTTGATCTTTTTTAGAGAAACTGAACTGTTGTGCCACTTCATGCCATGTGACATTAGCTGCTACGCTGTGTTACGCTGCATTACGTTACACTGGAGTGCAACAATATAGGGTGTTGTGTAGTACGCAGCATTACATGGCTTTATTACATGGCGTTGTGAAGCATTATATTACATAGCATTATGTAGTAACACCTCACAGCCTTGAGTTAAATTGTGTTATGTCATGTAACACTGCATTTATAGTGTTAAGTTTCATATTGTTGTGTTACTTCACATAGCGTAATGTTTTGTAGCATTACGTTGTGTGAACTGAAAAAAACCCCTGTTGCGTAGCATTACATTGTGTAGTGTCATTTAGCGTTACGTTCCACATCATAGTGTTACACTGCATCGCGTTGTCTAGCGTTTTGTTGTATTATGTTGTGTAGCATAGCTTTAAGTTGTATACTGTTGTGTATTGTTACATACTCAATGTCATACTGCAAAGTGCTACACGGTGGAACGGTGGTGAGCACCGTTGTCTCACAGCAAGAAGGTCGCCAGTTCGCGTCCCAGTGAGGACACCTGGGATCTTTCTGCATGGAGTTTGCATGTTCTCCCCGTGCAACGTGGGTTCTCTCTGGGTTCTCCGGCTTCCTCCCACAGTCCAAAAACATGTTGAAATTGTCTCTAGGTGTGAATGTGAGAGTGCTTGGTTGTCTGTCTCTAAGTGTAGCCCTGTGATAGACTGGTGACCTGTCCAGGGTGTCTCCTGCCTTCACCCTGAGTCAGCTGTGATAGACTCCAGTCCCCCGAGTGAGGATTAAGCGGTGTATAGATGATGGATGGATGGATGGATACTGCATTGCATATTGTACACATTGCATGACAGTGTGTTAAACTGTATTTCACACTGCGTCATGCGACAGTGCGCTACATTACCTGTTATGAACATGTTAGCTCACAGTACTTTCTAAAATGCAGGTAAAAGGCTGGAAACTCTTTCTGCTGTGACACGACTCCTACATAAATTTATCAGATAACAGTGTGTGGTAGTTTCTCTTTTTTTGTTGTTGTTTTTAAATATTCTCTTAAATCACTTTCTTTCTTTCTGCACAGCAAACAGTACTTTATCTTCAGCTAAAAGATGAAACCACTGACAGCTCAGTGAATTGCTTGTTTGCCTACCTGTCAATCACCTCTCCAGTGAGTCTGACATCACATCTGCCTCCATCTAATGTGCTTTTATTGAACAGTGAATGAAGAGGAAACTGGGTCAGAAATCCTGAGAGTGTAAATCTTTTACTTTGAAAATCTAGTTGCTGTACTTCTTCCTTCTCTTCTGATGAGGTAAAGGTAGGAAATAAGACATGATTAAGTTTTATGAGTTCTTTTTGCCTCTACCTGGGATCCACAGACAGGATCTTCTCGCAGGGACACCGCGGGGCCCGGGGCCTCCTGGTGGCCCCCAGCTGAGGAGGAGATTTCAGCCAGGAGGTCGGTGAGCGTCTCCTCCCGACCGGAGATCTCCACAGCTGAAACTCTGACAGAGAAACGCCCTCCGGACTTTTCTTTGCGCTCCTCGATCACCTTAAAGAGCCAGGAGATGGCAGTCGGAGCCACGCCCAGACTCTGCGTGGAGCAGTCCCGACCAATCATGGTGTACGTCTTCCCTGAGGTGGGCGGAGTCAACGAAACAATGACGTGATTTGTCAAAATAGTGTATTTGTGTGTGTGTGTGTGTGTGAGAGTACTGTGTCGTGTACTTACCCAGGTTAGCGTGTCCAAAGCAGAAGATGCAGCCGTCTGCTCCATTCACCACCGACTGGATGACCTCCGCCACCGTCCCCGAACACACCTCAGCCTATCAGAGAGAGGGACAGTCCACCAACCATGTTAGAGCTCAGACCCTCCACACATCATGTCACACATAAGAATAGACAGAAAAATGAGGGAACGCAGTAAACAAGACACAGCAGAACAAATGAGGACACAACAAAGGTGCACAACACAATCTGATTCCTGCAGTGTTGCACTTTGTAAAGCTGCAGTCTGTGGTGCTGCATTACACTGTGTCGCATTTCATTATGCAAAACTATTTACTGCTGCAGCGTGTTGCATTACAATGCACTGTGGCTTTTCAAGCTACACTGGATCACGTTAAAATGCCATACACTGAAGTGTGTAATATTGCAGTGGGTTGTGTTACAGCACAGTGCATTATGTTAATGTTATATTGGATGGTTGCATATAACAGATGGAGACTAAGGTGTTTCCCAGTAGAGGTTTTCTGCAGCCTGATTTCTTTGCTTGTTGGGCATCCAAGGAGTGAGAAAGAGAGTGATCTACTAGTGAAAGCCTCAAGATGGCTCAGAAGAGAAAGACTACGGGGAGCAAAGTGACTCGCTCGCTATCTGGACATGAGCTGAGGTCTGATCAGCCTCAGCTTGGTCGCCTTGGTCCCCTAAACTGTTTGAGTTGTTATGTTTGCCTGAAAGAATTTAAACTGTAAGTTCTAAAAAGGCAAAAACAAGCTGTCATTCCCAGAAGGTAAAGAGCTGTTCATCAACCTGGAGAGACGGCATCTTTTGCCGTCGTAAACAACATCTGGTTTCTAACAGAGTTACCAACACAAATAGTATCAGATGCTTTATCATGTGTTGGCCAGCCAAACTATCAATGATGATAGATGGAGGATTCTAATTGGTAGAGAGCCTGAGTGGGAGGAGATGGGAGACTTTGACAATATTATAGAAACAGATGTGCGCAGTGAGAAATTCAGTTGCGTATCTCTGCATAGACAACTAAATCAGATCCTCTGTCAACAAAATGAGACATCTTGATGATGCCTATTCTCTGAGTAATCTTTAAGTTATCGACTACAGTATACGGTTCAACAGAGCTGAGCGGTGAGTGGAATGATCAACTACGTGTCTGCTCAGTCGTCCATGTGCAGATCTGCAAAGGAGTTTAATCAAGACAGATACGGTGCTTTTGGTGATGCTACATTTGTCTGTATCAAGTCTCTTCATTGCATCATGTCACATAATGATTCAACATTTTAGCTTGTTATGCTTCAGAATAGACAACATGATGGGATTTGACACATTTTGATGGGATATAATCGTCTCGCTTCACCAGACAAATGACAATTAGTCTGGAGCCTCTGTGACGTAGCGACGGCTGATTGTTAACAGGCTTTAAGAGCAGTCATGAGAAAATTAGTCTCCAGTTCTTACAGCACTGACACAAACATGGATTCAAAAGCCTGTTCCAGCGGCCATCTTGGTTCTCTTCTGTACATTCACCGCATCACACCTGCATACTAGTCTGTGATTGGGCCACGCCAGGTAGAGATCAATTTAAACATGATGATGTCAGACACATTCTGCCAAAAGCAACAAAACATGAGCTCTCAGACTAGATAATTATATAATAACACAACCTGGAATCTAGAGCAAAATATTGTTTTAACAGCTTTAATAAAACCGACATGTTTTCCTAACTCCAACTGTTACCATCCATCTGCACATCTGCTGCCTCCTGACGGTTCCTCGCTGCTGTGGAGGTCTGCAGCACATCACACACAGATAACTATCACACACCCTCTGATGTATCTGCACCTCCTGCTGTCGTCTGTCTCTGGGGAAACAGAACATGCTGCAGAGGTGACACCTCGCTGATGAAGAGCTCAAACTTTGGGTGCGTGCCTTGAATTTATAGGTTTATACGCAGAGATGTGTAAAAAAAAAGAAAAGGTTTTAGTCATTTTAAAGGTTCAAATTCTTCTCCATCTCCATCAGGAGGAGTCTGTTCAGCAGATTCATTCAAAGATCATAGAGAAGTGCTAAATCTAACTCTTATTACAGTTGCTGACTGTGATGGATGGCATCATTTTTTGGAAAGGGGGGAGAAGAATTGGACAGACCTGCAGCAAAGGGTCGTGAGCGGGATTCGAACTCACGGCCGCTGCATCGGGGAACTACAGCCCCTGTTCATGGGCCACCCGCTCTACCAGGTGAGCTATAGGGGGGCCCGGATGGCATCATTTTGGTAAATATGGAGCGATGGCTTTTTCAAACCCACTGGTAGGTTTTGGGGGTTCAGAGGGGCTCACATTAAATCATGATCTGATTTCTGTACTTTGGATAAAGTTCACTTATAAATAAAAACTATTTACACTGTTAGGTTTGAAGCATCCTCTCCTCACTTTCACTCATGAAAACACATCCACAGGACTGTACGGCTGAAGGTGTCAATGATCGGTGCGTTCGGTGTGAATCACACAGTGTGAGTGTAGTTTGTCAGACTTTGACCCACCTGCGATGCATCCTGTGAGAAAACGGCGTCGAAGATGAAGGTCTTTGGTGCCGAGGCCGAGGATCGTCTCTGAGCGGCGGCGGCGGCGAGTCCACCGGGCGACGTCTCGCACAGAGTGAGCTGCTTCTTTCTGCCGTCGACCTTCAGGAAGGACATGGACTCTGAGGACTCGCTGCTGTGGACCGAACAGATCCGGATCATCACTCTGACCTGCAGGCAGACAGGAAGTCACGTCAGAGAGGCAGGAGGACCTCACAGTGAGTCCAGAGTTCACAGTAAATAAGCTGTTCAGTAAAGGTTATCGACTTCATTCCCCTGGTTGGGACCCACTAACCTGAGATCTGGTCTTAGCCTTTGTTGGCACAGCCTGAGCTTTACTCTTCTGAGCATTTCTCACATCTTAAGAAGATAAATGACGATAAGGACTGTCGTTTTCAGCTGTTTGATGCTGCCTACTTCATATCACACTCTCATCTGATATTTTTAGTATTTCAGGTGCACTTGGAGACATTTCTCTGTCATCTTAGTGTTCGACTGAGCAGGGATTCAAACTAGCAACCTCCTCCTGACCTCTGACCTGCAGCAGTTGGTGCCTCTCAGCACAGAGCAGCCTTGTCGTGACTCTGATGGGTTTTTATTGGCCTGTCACAGAGCTGCTGAGTCGGCGGTGAGGAGGTCAAGTTTAAAGCCAATAACAATCTGAGACGCAGCACATTTTAAATGATGTGTCGCCGCGATCCAGCGGAGCGAATCATCGGTTCCTCAGTCGCCGCGGCCGCAGACAGGAGGGAGGTGATCTCCCGTCTGGAACAGCTACCCGTCCTTTAAAGTCACAGTCTGACAGATTTTAATGGAATTTCTGTTTTCCTTCTCTGTTGGTCGCTTTCATCACAAAACCACTTGATGTATTTACCTTCAGTCACAACTTTTCTGTAGTTTCTACAACTGTCCAACAGATGGGCGAACTTACTGATAACATCTCCTACTGTGGCACCAGCATATTTCTCAGTCATGTGCCTTTTGTGGCTCTCTAACCTCATTTCCACTGCATGGTACAGTTCAACTCAACTTGACTTTTCCATTGTGGATAGTACCTCTCACTTTTTTAGCACAACCTCAGGTGATGAGCTGATGTTCAGAAGTGAGGTAAAACCACAGGAGGCCACGGTGTTGTAGAAGTTAGTCTGGAGTCTTTGTCACCTTGTTGCCAACAGTGAACCAAGCTAAGCTAAATGAGATAGCATCACACATGAGGCACCGGACTATGGTTCAGAAACCACAAGACCAGGCTGCAACATGGAGACTAGACTGAAACAGCCGGAGGGAGGCTCTGCTATGATTGGTGGTTAGACAGCACCAGAGAATCAGAGAAAACAGAGAGCGTACAACGGCAGCTGTTTAATAAACACCTTTCTGTGTTTGTGATGTGGTTAAGATGGTGTCACAGTCGTTTCATGAGGTGCTGCTATGATGGTCAGCTAAGAATCCTGCCAACACTGAGGAGGTGGAAAACAAATGTAAGAAATGTACCTACGAGGTGTGTCAGAACAGTTCCAGGACTGGTGTCGCAAAAGATAGATTTCAAACCCAAACTACAAACTAGGAGTTTTCCCCTTCAGACCATCAACCAGCACGTCTACAAAGAGATCCTGCAGCGTTTGCTTCTTTCAGAAGAGGTGAGAGTTGTGTCAGGACCAGTGGAGGCTGCTTCACCATGACAACCTGCTCACAACGTCCTGAGCATCCCACAGTTCCTGGCTGAGAAGAACATCTCCGTGCTGGAGCAACCTCCCTACTCACCCCACCTGGCTCTGTGGGATTTTTTCCTCTTCCCCAAGCTCAAGAGAGTCATCAAGGGGACCTGTTTAGAAGACGTGGACGACATCAAGATGGCTGTGATGACGGAGCTGAGAGGATCCCAGAAGAATCCTTCCAGGAGTGCATGGCGGCGTGAAGAGAAGGCTGGGGAAGTGTGTTAGACTCCAGGATGACTTGGAAGGGGAGAAATTGCAGTTTGTAGTTTGGATTTGAAATATATCTTTTATGACACCAGTCGTTCTACCAAGAGCAAGTACAGTTGAGTCAAGTAATATCTGTAGTGGAAGGTTTATGGGTATTCAGGAAGAAGACTCTCTGTCTGGAACTGACAGCATGAACCACAACAGCTGAGCTCATGGCAGAAGACACAGATTAAATGTGTGAAACCAGGACTTTTCTGTTGCTTCTAACTTTGTGTCTGAGTGATAATTTTACATTAAAATGTCGCCCAAATCACAGCAGAGCACGTTTCTCCATGCATGATTTCATGTCCTTTTCTTATATATATATAGTTTATTGTTTCATTTTTTTTCTTTAAAAAGCACCAAGAAACAGTTTATAAGTAATTTCCACTTTCACCAAGAATCCCATTTAACCCCTCACTAGCTGTCAACACAGTCCAGTTAAAGTCTTTGGAGAAAGTGTTTTACATACGACGTCGAACCAAACGTGTATTTTCTTAAACTGACGGTGATTTTCATCTGCGGTGGTCACAGCAAACACATTTAAGACTGAGCGCGATCCTTTATCAGACGGCTGTCGTCCTGCTGATGCTGCATTAAACCAGCTGCTGTTACCACGGTAACCACAGGTGTCAACAGGTAGAAGTTCAGGTCACTGGTCACTCTGAATCTCTTCTGTACGGTGGTTTGACAAAAGCATCTTTTAGATGAATCAAAGCAAATGTAGGACAGACGTCTGGAGGAGTGATGCCGCCGAGCTTCAAACGGCGCCAACGGATCGAGCCTCAGTCTGAACTCAGTCTGACGTCTCTGAGAACCGATAATGAAGTCTTTACACTCAGAATGGACTTTGGTTTTGTTCTCCAAGAGCGAGAGCTGCTTCATTCATGATGAAGCTCTCCCGCCCACACAGAGAGCAGCCAGAGTCCACAGTGAAAAGACTCATTTTAATTTATTAAACTCATTAAGTGCTGTTGGTTCAGAGGGATGAAAAGCAGCTCTGGATGTTAATGAGAGGAAAGAGGACGCTAAGAGTTCATCACAAGCCGCTAACGAATGTCTTCCTCTGATCAGCTCTTCCTATTTTAGTTTCTGAATGTTGGTCAAAGAGTCAGTTCATCAGTTTCCTTCTCTTTTATAATGAAAGTCGGTTTAATGGGATTTTCTCAGCTGATGGAAGAAACATGTTCTCGGTTTTTGAGGAAAATTTAGAGAGAATTATTTAAAAGGAATTTCTTCATTTAGGTTGATTTGAGTTGTTACACAAAGAGGAAAGCATGAAGACAGATTAAAAGGAAGAAAAGGGAGGGATAAAAAGAGAAATAAAGGCCGACGAAAGGATCAAGAAACAAAACACGTTTAGATTAAAAGTAAAAAGGAAATAAATGAGGGAAAGAAAAAAAGTCCTTAAAAATCTGAAAAGGACTTCATATAAAATCTGATCTGGTGTCACAGATCAGTGAACTACAGCAGCAGGTTGGTGCCACCGTCATAAACCTTTTTTTCTGTCTCAGGTTTTTACAACAAGACACAAAGACGTGATGATATCAGCTGCAGCAGGTCTTCATGTTCTGGAGAAAAACGAGAGGATGTCGGCATCAGACTCCAGCGGAGATCACGACTGTGAGCTCCCCGTTCACTACAGACTGACGGCTCGACGCTGCTCGAGCTGCTGCTTCACGCCCGTGCACATGTGTGTTTCCATGGTTACACCTACACACATCCTTGACAGCGGATGTCCAGAGGGGGGATTCTGATTTCTAAAGTCAAATGAAGCAGCGGATTCTGCAGGAGAACCGAGAGCTTCACACAGCAGCCGAGGTGTGACTGAAGCATCGAGATCCTTTATTTAGGTAAAAGAAGCAAAACAGCAAAGTGAAAATGCTCCATTACAAGCAAAGATCCTGCATATAAATCCTGCCTGAAGAGAAGTGCATAAATGTTAGCAGCAAAACGTAGTTAAAGCATTAAAGGATTGACTTGGTTCTTCTAATTGGTTTATTATAATGTACAGTCGTCCTCAAATTTATTCATACCTTCCTATTAAAGAAGGAAAAAAACAAACAAAAAAACAAGCAAATAAGCACGATGGGACCCGTAAACGAATATTCTGTTGAACAATCCCTTGAGTCGATCACTGCTATCAGGTGTTTTCTGTAACTCTCCATCAGACGTTTGGATTTCACTGCTCATCAGCAAAGTGCTCTAATTTGTCCGGGAAAGTTTTGTTTGTTTCTTTTTTTAATTATTCTTTTCAACCACAATTCAAAAGCAATATTCCATGTCACTAAATTATAATTTAGCAAATTTTTATTTATTATTACTTTTTTCAGTTTCTAGTTATTTAAGTGACTATTGTGAATTTTGCCTTTTCTTTAATGGGTATTTAAAGGGGATGAATAATTCCAGGACAACTGTATGTGAAATCCTGCTTGTCCTACAAATCTGATCGTGATTCTAATCCTGACGAACCCGAGTCTCGATGTCTTTGAGTTAATTCCCCATAAAACTGTGGCAATCTGAGGTTTGCGCTCTTGGAACAGGCCTGCATGACTGCTTGGAGATTTGTGCTTAGAGAAACTCGTTTTGTCTGACTTTTGGCTTTATCTGCGTTTGCTACCAGAACCTCCCCGATGGCCCAGGCTCTGCAGCCGAGCTCCAGCCACAGCCTTTCAGCCTCCCTGGCCCTCTTGGAACCTCTCCTGGACCTCCCTCCCTCACTCGGCTTCCCTCACTTGCTTCCCAGTGTCCCCTGTTCCTTGCTGCCTGAATAACTTTTCTAACCACCAAACCCTCTGTTGCCTTTTTGGATCCATATCTGGGGAAATCATAAGTCGTGTAAAATAGAAGTTCTCCAGTACAGTAAACCTCCATCTGTAAGAAAAACTAGTTTGTTACAAATCCTGAGTTTCATAATAAGGAATTACTGTCAAACAAATATTAACATAAAAATGAGTTTTCTTATGTGTCAATGAAACTCCTCGGTTTAACAAGATGCTGAGTAAATATCCTGTAACGACGGCGGCGGCAGCAGCGGACGGTGTGTTTCCTCTCAGCTCAGTCCATCAGAGTGTTTACGAGCGAGTCGCAGAGGGACGTTTGGTCTGCTGTAAATACAAACCGCTTCACAGTTTATGACCAAGAGGCAACAATAAAACGAGAGCAGCCGGAGGAGGAGGTCTGAGTGGAAACCCTCTCAGGTCTCAACGGGCCTTTAAACCGGACCGCCTTCCTCACTTACTGGATCAGTAAGAGGATGTTTGATCCTGCAATGAAGTTTAAAACAGCCGAGGGTGGTCTTAAATGTCAGCAGTGACAGAGCGATGTCCAGAGAGAGCCGCCGCATGATGGAGTGTTTCAGTGTCTTTATATCGAAGCTTGTAGAGTCAGCCAGTGTTTTTTTTTTTTTTACTGCTACGTTTCATTCAGCGCCGCTCATCATTTCATTCAATAAAAACTTCATAAAGAGAAGGAATGAATCGAGTGGTTAGCTTGTTAGCTTAGCTCTGCGGGGCTTTGTAATTTCAGCTCATCCCGTCTCATTAAGATGCTGTTTTATTTCTCGCTCCTCAACGCCGCGGCTCATTAACCGGAGCCCAGATGTTCCATTAGGACAGAGAAGATCCAGACTCCTGGAGATGCTGGTTGGATGACAGATGAAGGAGAATCCAGATCATTTCAGGAAGACTTTCAAGCTGAACTACAGACATGCAGTGATTATCAGCCCAGAGAGGAGGAGAGGGAACATTTCTCTACTTAACGAACCACAAGCTTTCTGCAGGCCTCTAGACGTCTTAATGAGCATCACAGTCGGTCCTTTACAAACGTCTCCAATGTTGTTTTGTAGCTGCTGTACATGACAGGACATGTTGGTCTGTCAAAGCTGCTGCAAAGATTCACAATAAAGTCAACGTAAGAAAAGCTTCAATTAAGAAATGATTATTGAGTTCTGCTTTTCATCTCCGGTATGCACAGATTGTGAGACAACAGGCCTTTATTCCTCCTTTTAGGACATTTTTTTTTCTCTTTTTAACCTTTTTATTGAGTTCTGTGACTTTAGATGAAGAGACGTCACATCCAAGAAAACGACAGCAGCAAAAACACGACCTAAAAAGGATAAGTTCGTGTAATTAGTGAGGTCTGCTGCCTGCTACACGTTGTCTAACCAGTACACTGCAAAAACAGATGAACATTTTTGAATATTTTTTAACTGTATTTTTTTTTTTAAACTTACAAATAATAAACGGGTAAAATCCCAGGTATTTAAAAGATATTCATGTATATCCTAACCTTAAAAAATAGACCAAAACTGTAACTAATGCCTTGCATTTAAAAAAATAAAAATATATATATATATATATATATATATTTTTTTTTAATTGTTTTGTGTTTTATTGTTGGCGTTTTTCATGCAGTTTTTCTTTTCTTTTCTTTTTTTTTTTTTTTTTAAACAACAGTTGGCATTAATATCACACAATTTTACAGTTTTTTGTAATTAGCTTAAAAAAAAAAAGTTAATTAAATATATTTCTACCTGTGTTACAGTTTTTGAACATCACAGTTTTCCAAAGTTAGATTTTCTTTTCTTTCTTTTTTCTGAGCATATGCTACTCCTGGAACCTCTGCTTACAGATTTTTACCTTTTTTTCTTTTTTATTATTGTTATTTTTTTATTTCTTACAGTGGACGACTGGGAACAAGTTGTTTCATTCATTTCTGTACGCTGAGAAAAAGTCTGAAATTTAATCTGGCAAACATCACAGAAGCCCTCAGGCCAGAGGACAAAAAAAAATATGGCAATTTCAATTAAATCTTCCTTATTTCAGAGGAGCCCGGAGGGACGAGCGAGGAGATCTGACATCCTTGTGAACAACAGTCAGACACTGATTATCAGAAAATGCTTCCAGCCGACTGTAAAGCGGCTCCAGACAGTCAGAGCCAGCGATCTGCAGCCTCAGCACACGCTCAGAAAACACACAACAACACGTGGCTCTTTGAAGTTCATTAAGGGGATGTTTGAAGAGCTGTCCGGAGGTTAAGTGTGTGATTGGGGTCACTCGGTGGCGACCTGCTCTGAGCTCGTCCCAGTCCAGTGTGTCGTGTCAGACGCTAATCGCTTCACGCTGAGCTGACGGCAGCAGATCTGGCAAACGCCATCGGCCCTGACAGCCGAGCGTCTGATCCGCAGCCAGCAGCAGAGTCCAAACACCGCTGACCGTGTCCATGAAGACGTTACATAATGTCAGCAGGCAGGAGTCCTGCTGGAGCCAAAGAAAGCCAGAAAGCCCTGCTAGCGCCCCCTACAGGCACTTAAACTACAAATACCATGTTTGTTCTCAGAGGGGTCCAGATGGTGGCATCATGGAACATCTAAAGGGTTCATCCTCTGGGCCTCTTGCTGCTGGTCTGACTTAAAGAGCCCATAATATGCTTTGTGGGATTTCTTTTTACTTTCTTTCTGGAGTTTTTTGATTGTTAAAGATCTGCAAACTCACAAAACCCAAAGTCCACATCAAAGGGAGTTACTGTCTCCTACACAGAGCGCTGCTTCCTACCGTCTGAAACACATGGTTTAAAGTTCAGGCTTTTCTCCCGTTGCTTACCGACATCATCTCGTAACTCATTTGCATCACACCTTCCTACTTCGACCCTCAGACTAAGAAGCAACCGCTGCCTCACAGTCTGCCTTTATTTCCTCACTGGAGGTGCTGATATTAGAGTTACGTCTCTCCGTCTGCACTCAGAGATCTGAGGTCGAGGTGCAGAACCGACGTTAGCTCACCGGCTGGAGCCTTGAGATAAATCCCTGTCAAAAACTTCCACTAGTAAAATGATCAATTATCTGCACTTATAAAGCACTTCCCTTCACTATCAAAACGTTCTACAATATTTACCTTCCTTCACCCACTCAGGCTGCCCATTCACAGGACCAGTTTAACCACCTATGAGAGCATCTTCACACACAGACATCACCGTGTGCTCTGAGCATTTGCACATTCTTGGATATTTAAAGGGTATGAATATATTCGAGGACGACTGTATGTGACATCCTACTTGGAAACAAATCTGATCGTGACTCTAATCCTGACGAGCCCGAGTCTCATCTTCTGTGAGACCAAGTGAGGTGAACATTCAGGAGAGCGACAGGTCAGAGTTAAAACATCGACGGCTCTGGAGGAGATTTAAATGACAGGAGGAGCTCGTTGTGGCAGTAATTATTATATGGGTGACAAATGACCCACACACACCGTAGACTGGATTAAAATCACTGAGCAGAGCATGTGAGAATAAAATCTCCCCTACAGACGGAAAATCAACCTGAACAGGGCTTTCGAGTGTTCAGCAGGAGATAAACGTCTGAGCAGAGACGCTACCGATCTGATCGCTCTGTAAACCGTAATAAACCGGCTGAATGCAACAAAGACGCTCAGTGACTGTTTGCCTCCGTCACGCCGACCCGTCGGTCTACCCGCCTCCTCACGCTGAAACAGAAAGCTCCTTCACCCAGCTGACCTTCTGACCCCTCGCTGCCCACCGACCGCTCTGCCGCAGACGTTTCCCACAACCTGCTGGTCGACCGAACCGGATTCATGAGATTCCAGCAGCCTGAGAAGATCTGGACTCTGATCTCTTCTGGGCTTCTTACCTTCCCCATCCCCGGCGTGTCCTTGACCTTCGACCCGGCTCGAAGGAGGCATGGTGGGACGGCGGGCGGGGAGAGCTGCAGGGCCCCGCTGAAGCCGCCGGTGTAGAGCAGCGGCGCCGGAGCCTCACCGGGCGAGGAGGGCGGGCCGGGCTGGGACTTCTTCCTGCGGGACAGACTGAGCTTCTGAGCCGCCCTGGAGACAGAAAACACCAGAGACACAAAGAGTCAGCCAGAAGTCTTGTGCTCCACTCAAAGATGTCATCAGTGGTCATAAGTGCTGCACAAATACATTTAAACTTGTCTTCCATAAAATCCTTTGATCCCCAAACCTGCGGACAAGACTGAAAGGCACAAAGTCTGAGAAATGACACCATTTATCTATAAAAACAGAAAGAGGGTTTTTTCCAATTTTTTCCAACTTTTCCAACCAGAGATGGACCACGAGTTTGTTTGGTTAAAAAAATTAATTAAATCAGAATTTAAAATGTCTATATTTCAATAAATCACTTTCATTTACGTCTTATTTAAATTATTTACAATAGTGTGCATGTTAATTCCATTTTTGAAACATTTTTGATAAAAAAATAAAGATAATTAAATAAATTCCTCATACGTTTTTTCTTTTTGTATGGTTCATGTCATTTTAACTTTGCCATGTTGGACAAGAGACAAGAAGATCTACGGTTACGAGAGGGTTACGTTGGTTTTAAAAGTTGA